TATTACCCTCCCCAGACCCCACTTGTGGAATTACACTGGGTTGTTGTTGTTGTTGTTGTTGTTTTGTTTTTTATAAGTTTTGTTTTTCTTTTTAAAAATAAAAAGTTTATTTATTCAAAAAATATTATTGAGAATAATAGAATAAAATATAAAATAAAAAAAATATGTATCATCTATTATATTATAAAAAGAAAGTAGCATACAAAAATTAAAATAAAGTAACATGCTAATAAAAGTTTCTATTAACAATTCAATAATACTAAATATTGGATATATATTATTAAAAGGAGAGGGAAAAGCACAAGTTAGTTAGGTTGGGTAATAATTATTTTTTTTTATTAAAAAAATTGCAAGCAACAAAATAAAATTTTAAATAAATATCTCTATTATAGAAGTAATGTGAAAGTATTTTAATAACACTCAAAAATATTACCTGAATATTTAAATAAATATCTCTATTATAGAAGTAATGTGAAAGTATTTTAATAACACTCAAAAATATTACCTGAATATTTAAATAAATATCTCTATTATAGAAGTAATGTGAAAGTATTTTAATAACACTCAAAAATATTACCTGAATATTTAAATAAATATCTCTATTATATCTATATCTATATCTATAAATTATTAAAAGGAGAGGAAAAGCGCTCTCCTTAAGCCAAGTGGCAACCTAGAAAAAAGCCACATGGCATAAGTAGTTAAAAATTCGTTATCTAGTCTAGTTGAATAGTCAAGGTTAAGCCTGGACACCACCGTTATTAAAATGAATTAAAAAATGGCGGAGAAGATGATAAAATAGTACAGAGAGTTTAAAAACAAGGTCGGAATTTTGAAACTTTTTGCGGTATGTAACTATGTGTAATGTATTCAAAGTTTCTAATCAAAAGTGGAGAACATTTTCAGACAACTGAAAAAGGAATGTAAAGCAAGATTTTCGGTAGATGGAGCACTAGAAACTATATGAACGCACTTTAATAAATACTCCCTCGTTTTAATTTTTGTGAACCTATTTGACTGGGCACGGAGTTTAAGAGAAAAAAGAAGACTTTTAAACTTGTGGTGTAAAATGAGGCACATATATTTTGTGTGGCTATAAATCATTGCATAAAGGTAAATTGTTTCCAAATGAGGAAAGGGGTCGTTCTTTTTGACATGAACTAAAAAAGAAATAAGTTCACATAAACTGAAACGGATGGAGTATAACATATAACACAATTGAAACATAGCATCAAACACACAGGCCAAGGTGGAGGGCTGCCTTTTGGGATGACAAGTGGATAGGACATGGTCCTCTAGAAGATCAGTATCCTGATCTGTTTCTGACAGCATCAAACACACATGCAAAGGTGGAAGAAATAAGCGGACAACAGGGCTGTAATTTGAACTTCAGAAGGATGCTCAATGACTGGGATGACAGAGTTGCTGCATTGTTAAATCAACTTGATCATTTGCAAGGCCTCAGAGGATGCGAGGATTCCCTGGTATGGAAAGGGTCAAGTGCTAGGCTTTTCTCAGTGAATTCAGCTTACAAAAGTCAAATGGACAACATCCACATTGGTAGAGGCCGCCTTGGAAACAGATTTGGAAGGTAAATGTACCCTCTAAGGTGCTAGTCTTCGTCTAGTTAGTGGCTAGACAAGCTTGTCTGACACATGAAAAACTAATGAGGAGGGTTTATTATCTGAGTTCCAGATGTTATTTAAGTGAAAGGGAGGCTGAAGATAACTCTCATTTGTTCCTACACTGTGTGGTTACTTCTCATTTGTGGCACTTGTTTCTGAGTATAGTCAGAATGAATTGGGTCATGCCAAAGGATACAACTGACCTCTTGAGATGTTGGAGTGGTATGACTGATGGTGTTAGGCAAAAGAAATGGTGGCAGATGATCCCAACCTGTATTTGGTGGACTGTCTTGAATGAAAGGAACTCCAGATGTTTTGAGGAGTGCCCTATTTATGTTGGAAGAAAGAAAGTGGTATATTTTGGGGATTTTGTTGACAAATTCTCCAAAAGGCTACAGGGCTAGCAAGGAAAAATCTTATCTTTTGGTGGCAGAGCAGTTTTAATCAAAGCCGTGCTGCTTTCTTTACCTCTCCATGTTTTATCTGTGACTCAAGGGCTCACCCTGTTTCCAAAAATGGGCTGCAGGACAATCTCATACTTGGAAGAGAATTTTGGGGCTCAGAAAGGAATGTGAACAGTTTATTCTCCGGAAAGTTGCTACCGGAGATCTCTCCTTTTGGTGGGAGAATTGGGTGGGACTAGGCCCCCTAGCTCAATTCTTTCCTCATTCCTATAAATCCAAGAAAATTAGAGTGGCTGAATTTATGGAGGATAGAACAAGAAATTTGGCCAAACTACACGAGCATCTTCCTGATCATCTAGTGTCAAAAATTCAGGGGGTCACAATTCATGAAGAGTCTAACAACTTTCCAGTTTGGACACTTGACCAGCAAGGGCTTTTTTCTTGCAAATCAGCTTGGAAAACTTTGAGGAGGACCAAGAATGTCACTCTTTCTACAACCAAGATATGGCATCACAAAGTTCCTTTCAAAGTTTCCTTTTTTATGCTCAGATTATTATCCCATAAATTGCCTACTGATGATGTTTTGCCAAGGAATCATTGGACCTTCTAAGTGTCTTTGTTGTATAAATGCAGATACAAAGAGTATTGATCATTTATTCAATAATGGGGACCTAATTTTCTCTGGAACTTGTGGGGTTAGCTTAAATCAAAGTAGTATTAGATCAACTCTGATGAAGTGGTGGCTCATGAAACCAAAAAACAGGGTACAATCTTTTCTGCTCCAATGCTTACCTTCAGTCATCTGCTGGGAGTTGTGGAAAGCAAGGTGTAGCTCCAAATATGAGGATACAAGATGTACTCCAGGGAGAATTATAAATCAAGTTATCTACTAAATGAAATTACTGATTTCTTCCCAATTTCCTTCACTTGTATTGGATGAGCAATGGCATGTTGCAAGTGATCAAGTTGAAAAACTTATGCCTAAGCTTGATATTCAGTGTTTGAAATGGATCAATCCCAATCCTTTGATGTATAAATTAAACATTGATGGGTGCAGTAAAGGCAACCCAGGCAGAGAAGGAGGTGGTGGTATTTTGAGAGATGATAAGGGTCAGCTAGTCATGGCATATGCAAATTATTTTGGGGCATGTTCCAACTTCTAACAATGTGGCAGAGGCTCTAGAAGTGCTTATGGGAGTTCAATGGAGTATTAACATGGGCTGCTTGAATGTTATAGTTGAATCTAACTCTTTGGTCTATTGGAATGATTAACGGGACACATGCTATACCATGGCAAGTCAAACATATCATCAGGAAGATTTTTAGAGCTAAAAGTGCGAGGTAATTTTGTTTTCCAGCATTGTTACAGGGAAGTGAACTGTATAGCTGACTTTTTAGCTAACTTTGGAGAGCACACAATGCAAAGTTCATTCTTCACACAGGATTTAACTCTCCCTTTGAAAGCTAAAAACAATTTGAAGAATGGCATCAATGGCATACTAGTCCTTCAGATCAAAGCGCAAAGAAGAAACTTCACTTTTGATTACGGGTAGTTACAATAATATATTTCTATGGTTTTTAACTAACTTTAACCTAGAATACAAAGTTCATAGTGTAAAGGAGGAGAGTTCCTTTATTTTGTTGTATTCTGAACACTTATGTAATTGTATTGGAGACTAGGGTCTACATCCTCCTCCATGTACTCTTTTTATGTTATAATTCACTAGTCGGGGTGTCTGCCTAAACCTCCCCCCACCCCCACCCCCACCACCACAATGGTGGCTTTTGACAAAAAAAAATGCCCTGTAAATGATAGTGACTCCATACTTGACATCATAGAATCCTTGTAAGTTTTTGTTGTAGGGGGATTCTTATCTTTTTGTTTTTTCTCTTGGAGTATGTATTTTGTCACTTCTAACTGCACAATCTTTGTGCTGTTCTTTCTGAAATAAATAACATAATTGAAACATATATGCTGCCAGTAACATGACCATATTAGACATATAAAGTCAACATCTTTTACGCTTTGGTGCACATATATAAAAGAGACAACTTGGTTGTTACAACAAATCAATATTTCGGGTACTTAAGAGTTCAGTGATTTTGGATTATTCAGTGATACCGATTTCAGAAGACATCAGTGTTCAGATTTCAATTTTAAAAACTAGCTGCTTGATATATGAATTCTGAAGCATAAGATGCCATGCATTCTGCATTACACCTAGAATATTAAATTAAGTTTTGGATAACTAACATCCTGGCTACGGTCCACTATGAAAATATGTAAAAGAACTTGTTGGTTGCATCATAAGTGGAATAGGACATAAACAAGGGTGCTCAGTGCTCTCATCAGTAAATAAATCAGCATCTCCAAACACATTGTCATGATGATCAATAATCATTATCCCTACGAGAAAATATCTGTGCAATATAACAAATTAAGGACATAGAGACAACATTACCGAGAACACAAAGAGTTCACCTAGAAGATCAGCAGCAGCTTGAACTGCCTTTTCTTCATTTAGAGGGCGAATTGCAACATCAGTTGCATGACCATATATACGTCTTTGCAACTTCGTTGAGAATCTATGGTTTGCCTGGATTAAAAAGGGAAAAAAAGAAAGAAAGAAATCAAATATGCATATATTCCATGAATTTCCATTTCCAATTACCTTCATTTCTAATGGACAAGAGGAATTATATCAACTTAGATCACACATCCCGGAAAAATAATGCAACACTGAAGCACAACTCAAGGATATTAAGTTCCATGGATGTGACAATTTTGACTGTGTGCCTGCATATGTTTTTTCTTTTTTTTTTCTTGCTCTGACAGTATCTAAGGCCATCTTGCGAGCACCTCGACTATTCCACCGGGTACTTGCTAGTCGAGCTTTGTCTTTGTTTTGTTACAACTACTTTAGTACACCACTTAGTGTCTTTCGTGTGTTTTCGTCTTCCTAGACTTCTGCTATTACGTGATGTTGCCTTCGTTTTGGTTTTCTAATTGCAGTACCTAGTGTTAGTTTTGTGTTTTGGCTTGGTTTTCTAATTTGTTTGCTTGCCATTTCCCCTCCCCTATTATCTTTTCTGAGCCGAGGCTCTACCGGAAATAGCCTCTCTATCTTTTAAAGGTAGGGATAAGGTCTGCGCACAGACTACACTCCTAGACCATATTTATAGAAATACGCTTGGTTTGTTGTTATTGTTATTGTTGCACTGATTCTTTAGTATTTACAAGATTAGGATTTTATTATTTTTCTGTGAATAATACCACCGTGCAATGAGATAGTAAGATTAGATTGTTGAATGTCTTATTCCTTATTCCTACTGACTTATTACTTTTAAAATTGAGATCATTCATTGAAATTTTAATGCATTCAGAGTTTGAAGAGTGTCCTAGCTAGTTTCTAAAATTCTAAGTTTAACAGAGGTAATGGGTGACTCTGTCGGAAAGGTTTAGGCAGATGGGAAGAAATCACCAAGTATTTTTTTTCTCTGTTGTGATTTGCAACGTGGTTTCCAAGGTTTGCATCCACCTCATTGACTATTAAGCTACCCCTTGCATGCAATTTTAAATGTGTCTTAACAAGTTTATGGAAGCTAATTAGTTGTTTTACTTTGAGCGTATTGAAGAATACTGCAAACAAGAATTGCTTAACTAAGGTAGCAGCAATAAGCCATTCTTTTCCCTTTTTTTGGGTGTATATTGCTCGCGAGCAGAGCGACGGTAAGTTAAACCTAATACTATCATGATCAGCCTTCGACGCTTATCTCCTTGTCTTCAAATTTATAAACTATAACTTACTTTGACGTTTTCAATTTCCTATAGAATCATAATCCCTTTCCCTAGTCAAACAAGATGAACAAAAATGTATTTATCTATATTACAGTTTTGTATTTAACTAAATACACTTAGAATGCTTTTCTATTTGCTATTCTTTTAGGCCCTAGTGGTAAGAGCCATTGAGTGATGTGTAGTTAGGTGCACGTCATGAGTTTGAACCCTACACGTACAATAGTTTGGTACGTAAGTGGAGAAGGGTAGAATATAGATGGCCCATTATGCACGAGTTTTGAACTGCGGGCCACTGGTTGTCGGGGATTTGTTGGTTATCAAAAAAATCTTCGGTAAGTACTTTTTTAGCATCACCATTTTTAAGTTTCCTGATTCCAATCTATTAGGTAATTCCACCCGACGGTCAATTATTCATCCACCTACGATAATTATCTTCAAATTCAGGAAATGAGCTCAGTCAAGGAGACCTTTCAATCAAGTAACCGTTTGTGCGAAAGCTATGTAGTTTCACCACATAAGTAACCGCTTAAACTCAGAGTGATCTCAGTAATTATTAAAGGGGGATACTGTTTGACTCCTAAAATTTACATTTAATTTCTGAAAATCCTCCAATAATGAAAACTCCAGTTCTTTCTAAAAGTCATCTCTTTTTTTTTTTCCATTATCATCACTATTTACCATTGACCATTTGGTAAAATTGAAGGAATTGAAATTGAAGAAACGAAATAGAAACAAAACCTGGGCGATGTTGATGATGAAAGTTCGGAACCTAGGGTGATAGCCAGCCTCTTTCTTAATGCGACGGCCGATGGGTTTGCAGAAAGATCTGAGGGCAAGTGTCCCTAGCTTGAACACTGGTAGTATCATTCTTACTTCCTATATCTTCCCAAAACTAACAGAGAATTTTTGTAAAAGTACTGAAGAAATTGATGGAAACACAAGGGTTTTGATGAATGATGAGTCTCTGATTGGCACTCTCAATCATGGAAGGAAATGCTGACATGGGTTTTTGGAGAGACAATTCGTGCTTGGGGAAAAAGTAATCTGCGGGTTAAAGGCTTACAGCAAGACTTCTTTCTTTTTCACTTTTTTTCTTTTTATGCTAATGCGAGATTCAATTATTGGATTTAATAAATTCAAAATGTTTTATATAAATGCCGTTTGTCAATCCAAAAAAAGGAGGATATTTCAGATTTTACACTGTCCTCCCGCAGTCCCTCACTCAGTCGCAAATAGTATAAGGAAAGGTGTACACCTTGAACTAACCCTAAATTTGGTTCAAATTATTAGTATCCTTCCTAAATTATTTATCCCCTCAACTTGGCCTTTTGAGGGTCATTACCCCACTAAACGCTGATGTGGTAAAAAGTGTGGGTGCACTTGCCTGCCACGTGTATTTTTCTGTCTATGTGGCATTTTTCTGAAAAAATAAAATATTTTTTTACCTTTTTAAGAATATTACTTTTTTAGATAATTTTTTTCGAATAAAATTTATAATAAAACTTGGATGTAACTACATTATTTAGGCTAAATATTTTTCTTTGGCCAAAATTAATAAAGTTTTAGTTAATCTTTTTTTTTAAATTTGACCTGAAAATAAAGATTTATACAATTGAAATAAATAGTCAAGGTATCTAAAAAGTTATAAAAAAATGCATAGTTGAAATAAATTATCATTGCATCAAAAGAAGAAATAAAAGGAGTGTACAATTGCACTTGTAATTTCTTGCAATTGTACACTCTTTTTATTTCTTCTTTTGATGCAATGATAATTTATTTCAACTATGCATTTTTTTATAACTTTTTAGATACCTTGACTATTTATTTCAACTGTGTATTTTTACTTTTTTAGGTAAAATATATAAAATAAAAAAAATAGAGCACCGTAATTTAGAGCTATATAAAAAATTATAGCCAAATAACTAATTTCAAACTATGTATTTTTATAACTTTTAGATGTCTGACTATTTATTTCAATTGTATAAATCTTTATTTTCAGGTCAAATTCAAAAAAATAAATTAACTAAAACTTTATTATTTTTGGACAAATAAAAATATTTAGCCTAAATAATGTAGTCGTATCCAAGTTTTATTATAAATTGTATTCGGAAAAAATTATCTAAAAAATAATATTCTTAAAAATGTAAAAAAAAAATATTTTTCAAAAAAAATGTCACATAGACAGAAAAATCTACGTGGCAGGTGAGTGCACCCACACTTTTTGCCACATCAGCGTCTAGGAGGGTAATGGCTCTCAAAAGGACAAGTTGAGGGGGTAATTAAGACCGGGCATAGTTCGGGGAGGATATTTATAATCTGAGCCAAGTTTAGGGGTGGTTTAAGGTATTTTGACTATAAAATTCTATAGTGCATCATTAATGGAACAATTGATTTCCTTTTTTATTGTTTGTATTTAGTTTATCCACCAAAAAAGTAACTCTTTAAAATTGTAAAGAGACGTGATATACAAATAGCACGAAAAAGTGAAATTAAGCAAATTGCTTTAGTAAATGAAAACAAAAACTATGATAGTGTTTTGTGTATACACACTTAGGGAATTCATAATAAAATTGACTTTGATTTTTCTTAAAACTAAGATTTTGCTTCTTTTTTTTGGACAAATAAAAATATTTAGCCTAAATAATGTAGTCGTATCCAAGTTTTATTATAAATTGTATTCGGAAAAAATTATCTAAAAAATAATATTCTTAAAAATGTAAAAAAAAATATTTTTCAAAAAAAATGCCACATAGACAGAAAAATCCACGTGGCAGGTGAGTGCACCCACACTTTTTGCCACATCAGCGTCTAGGAGGGTAATGGCTCAAAAGGCCAAGTTGAGGGGGTAATTAAGACCGGACATAGTTCGGGGAGGATATTTATAATCTGAGCCAAGTTTAAGGGTGGTTTAAAGTATTTTGACTATAAAATTCTATAGTACATCATTAATGGAACAATTGATTTCCGTTTTTATTGTTTGTATTTAGTTTATCCGCCAAAAAAGTAACTCTTTAAAATTGTAAAGAGACGTGATATACAAATAGCACGAAAAAGTGAAATTAAGCAAATTGCTTTAGTAAATGAAAACAAAAACTATGATAGTGTTGTGTGTATACACACTTAGGGAATTCATAATAAAATTGACTTTGATTTTTCTTAAAACTAAGATTTTGCTTCTTTTTTTTGGCAATGGACGATTTTATTGATACAACAAGAACTAAGAGCTATTACAACGAGAGGTCAGTCTAGATAACAAAGTGCTTAGACCTCTCTTTCTAGTACATGTGAAACAAAAGAAGGAGGGGATACATAAGTATGCAAAAAGCAAAAAGTGCCCAAGTTACATCCATTCTTAGCTAATAGGCCGCTACTCCGTTAGCCTCTCTAAAGACGTGCTTCAAAGGTGGATCATTCACCTTCCCCAATAGGTACCTGCAATTGTCAAGCAAATTTTGGTAGAGACAGTTGTTAGATTTAAGGAGGCTTATTAGTTCCAGACAATCGGTCTCAATTACTATTGGGAGGAGGTTTTCCTTAAGAGCTAATTTAACACCATGTAGCAGGGTCAGGATTTCCATGTATATGTTAGTAGCGTGTTCAATTCTCATGTTAAAGCCCAAGGTCCACTGGCCCCTGTTATCCCTAAATACCCCTCGCACCCCTGGATTCCCTTCGCAGGATCCATCTATATTAAGTTTATAGAAATTTGTGACGGGAGTTCTCATTTTACAAGAATCGTTTTCTTGGGAAGTTTTATACCTAGGTTTTCTGCCATGTATATGAATTCAACAGTTTTGCTAATGTGATGGTCTACGGACGGGCGGGATTTGTTTCCTTGGAAGAGTATCTCATTCCTAAAGTTCCAGATATACCAAAGTAGGAAAGGAAGAAGGACTGCCCAAGGAAGGTGACTATTAAAAGATTTCTTAGATGCAAGCTATTTTTTTAAGTCAATTAAACTAGGAGTCTTTATCCAAAGAGTTTACAGGGAAGAGGTGGTCAATTCTCGTTTGTGACCAGATGGATCTTGCATAGTTGCAGCGGAAGAAGATGTGTTCAGAATCTTCTATCTCCCTATTGCATATGCTATAGATGTCGTCATGACATATTCCTCTTTTGGCTAGCATATGTTGACATATTCCTCTTTTGGCTAGCATATGTTTGGTGGGTAGCCTATTCCATATGACTGTCCATAGAAAGTATTTTAATTTGTTTATGGAATTAATTTTCCAAACAGGAGTAGTCCTTGGTGTTTTCAGGAAGTATTTTAATTTGTTTATGGAATTAATTTTCCAGATTTTGCTTGTACACAAGTGATTGAAGTCGACCTGGGTCTTGTCGTCACACAAACTAAGTTTTAGGAGGCAAAAACACCAAAGGATAACATTGTTTTTTATCTACTATATGTAGACCTTTTTAGTGTTTTAAAGATCCAAATTCTTCAAAATTAATGAAATGAAAATATACAATTATTTGTCTATATTTTAATATGAATACATGTGTTCTATTAGCTGTAGAGAAATTAGGCAGGCGCATGGCAAACCGGCAAAAAGCACTTAGAAAGAGAAGAAACACTGAAAATAGAAACAAATTCACATCCACTGTAATACAGACAGTCTGAAAGTGTAATAGGGTGATCGGGATAGCAAACCATCAGAATACACCAATTTATGGTAGTTGCACAACATAACGTGTAGAGAAAAACATACAATACACTAAATTCCATTTAAACCACCTCTTCTGAGAGAGTAGGTAGTGGAAAGCAAAAGAAAATTACAAGGCAAGAAATGAAAGAAACAATTCGATCGAGCTTTGATCCTTGAGAGTCTTCTTTTAACACCAGCAAGACATTATTTGGTTAATGGTGTTACTGCAGACAAAAGGAGCAACCTGGTCATAATCCAACTTCCATGACTTCAATAACCACTGCATTCCTGAAAGTAAGTAACATCCATCCACGGCTGATCTTGCGAGTGAATTTGCCTCAGAAAAGACCTTTCCATCCTCATCGGCAAAGTGGAGCCCAAGGCTCCATCAAGATCTGTATACCAAAATCAAAATATGGATCAGAAAAACAGCCCTCTCACTATTATATTATCTTCCATCTGTTACCTAACAGTCCAGAGGAAGAGGTGAAACTGACACTGTTACTATTGACTCCCATCATTATACAACACACTTAATGTTTGACAACCTCTAACTTACAACATGCAAAATCAACTGCAGATGACAACTTAAGTGGCAAGATTGTGGTCCCTAAACCTCAAGAACTTCAGTTCAACTCTCCCTATGAGAGGAGCAATAAAATGCATTTGTTCCTCCTTCAATACCATATGACACATGATCATATTACAAAATGCTGAAAAGTTGCAGTTGACATTACTAGCAATTGCAGGATGCAAATGGCAGAATAAAATACTACTCTAATTCTCGTGGCCTCATGAACTAACTGCATTAAATTGCAGTTGCCTAAGAGAGACGCTTCTAGCAATTGCATAATGCAAACAGAAGAACAAAACACTATACTCTTTCGTGCTGACACACATGACCTAACTGCAATACTTACATAACCCCCCCCCCCCCACCAAAACACACACACACAAAAAATATATTGCAGGAAGATGCGCAACCTCAATGGTTTGTATTACACTGTACAAACGTTCTTCAGAAAACATTCAGCTTGTTCATCAGCTACCTTTCCTCCTATTGCAGAAAAAAGATCTTTTACATCTACAGACTAGAGTTTTGGTATTCAGGCACCACATAAACCAACAAAAATCTAATTGAACCGGCACTTGTTTAACCAAAAATCTGAGTCTTTGGTCAAAGCTAGAAAGAAATTCGAGTTACTGATAATCAGGAGACGAAAATAAAATATTTTTGAGAATGATGGTAAAGCAGTAAATAGTTTTGTATTTCAGTAAGATCTCAATAGTATTTCGTGTCCTTACAGATGTTGAGTCTCTCCCTTTTTATAGTTGATTCTAGGAGAAGATATAATGCTTTTGTCTTAATGAGACAATTATGAGCAATAAATGATATTTAAAAGAAACGTTACACAATCATTTCTATTTAATTCAGATTCTCTAACGTATTTGACATTT